AGCAGGGACAAGAGGGGGTTCAGTGTTAGTGACCCAAGCCAGCCTCAGCATTGCTTCTATGTCTTCACTTTCCTAAAACAGACATCAGTACAAAATGGCAGACATGGAGAATTGCTGTTTCTTTCCTCTCAGGAAGGAAGAATTAGTGACACAGTCTATTATATTCTTCTTTCCTGTTCCAGATGATAAAAAGGCTCCAGTGAGTCCCAGGGTCACACCTGCACATCTCCTGCTTTACTGTGGGAGGCCTGGGAAACACGATTGATGCTGCTTTCAATAAAGACCTTCAGGCCCTTTAAACCTTGTGTGTAGAGATATTCCAGATACCAGTTCCACTTTCTTCCCTATACAAACAGACAAAATAGTTAGATGTGCTGGACAGAGCTTTGTCTCTTTCTCAGATCAATCTGAAAGGGCCTGCAACTAAACACAGTTTGGCAACATGCATCCTAGCCTGTAAATACCCACAGGATACAGGGTCACATGCTGCTCCCAAATGCCCAAATTTTTCACTTAAGTATCACACATTCTTAGCTTGAATGTGACAGTTATTTTCTTTTAATACTGAAGATGTTTATAAATCTTTGTTCTAAAAGGAGCATTGGCTATTGGATCAACAGTGAAGATGTCAGGAACCAAATGAACATGGATATGAAAAGCCTTCCTTCCATCACTAATGGTGGCTTCTCCAGACCAGGTTTGAAGTGGCCTGGGATACAGGAAAGGAAACAAATTGCCTCTATACTTGCTCAGTGGAGGATCCTTGTTCAAAGCTCTAACAAGGCTACACATCCATCTCAGAAACTTAATATTACAAATGAGAACAGAAATTCTGCATCAAGTACACCAGAAACAGAACTTCTTATGGAGTTTGTAGAGAATAATAAAAGCAGCCTTGTCTTGATTCTGCTCTGACTCATGGAGGGAATATTTAAACATCTCAGCCCACTACCCACAGATGACTAGATAAATAACTTGTCAGGTGTCCTGTTTGGCCCTGTTAAGAGATTGAACCAAAGTCTACAGCTGGAATCTTCCCCTTTCCAAATTTTTGTACAGCACTTGTGGAATTGTTGAAGATTATCACATCATTCTTTTCTACACAGCTTCTGAAAATTGCCTGTTTTCACTTCATTGAAGCAAGAAATCTTACCTTAATTAAACTGAAGTTGAAGGTGATATCTTCTGGCCAAGCCTTAAGGAGAGGGAATAAGAAGAGTATCAAGTCAGATAAAAAGTATGTTCAGTTGCTGGGCCTCTGCTTAGTCCCCTTCTAAATCAGAAGTTACAGGCATGCAAAGAAATTCAGAGATTTTTAATCATGGTTTACAATGGACTTCCAGAATCCTACTGTGCCCACAAGTGGCAAGGTAAGGTGGAGACCCCCCTGCCCTGTGCTGCAGCTTAACTGAAAGCCAACAGGCAATATTATAGGTAGGGCTATTGTCACCCTACAATGTAAAAGCTGTCTCTTCAAAACATTAGATAGATAATTCCCAACAATGAAAAAGAGCAAGAGGAAAGAACCTAGAGACATTGAGAGCATTGCTTGTGTTCTCCGAGTGTGCAGCAGAGCAGTGCCCTCTGGTGCTCAGCACTGAAGTGCTGAAGATGGCACTGCAGCCAAGTGTTTTTTCTTGTCTTAAGACACAGGAAAAAAATATCAAATATATTACATCTGTGATAGCAAAATCTCCTTCTTGGTTCTGCAGTGGGAAGAAGGCCAACAATCTCCACCAGGTTTTGGGTTGTTTGTTTTCAGGTTTTCTTGTTTAGTTGTTTGGTTGTGGTTTTTACTTACAAAAGAATCAGAAGCCTCAGAATGGAAAGGATCTAAACAAAAGGGATGAACAAACTAATTCTGCTACAAGAGGAAGAAGGTCAAGGAAAATAAGTTGTATATAACAAAAATAAAATAACCTCCTCTGGCAGAGACAACATGGGGGTTTAATCAGCAATAAGAAACTGCCAGTGTTTCTCACAAATGTTTGGGTCACGCTCTGCATTTTGGGGGGCAGGATGCACTGTTGGGAAGCTTGTGCTGATTGATCACTTATTTCATGATTTAGCACTTTTAGTTCTATAATCAAAATTATCATAAGCAGAAATTCACATCTAGAACTGTTACATTCATGCTCTCATACCATGCAAACAAAGATTATTCAAATTATGTCCCTGACCTAACACAAACACAGAATTCCACACCAGATTTGAAAGCTCAATTGACTACAAGTCAGCCAGGACCCTGAGAGACATTTCCCTATGGAAACTGTCAAGACAGAACATCTGGTGCTTCTAATGGCCCAGATGTTGGCCTACAGCATTACCTGCTTCAGGAAGAGGGCAGCATAGCCCATCATGGCTGGGTGGTTGACAATGTTTAAGCTGGTTTTGAAATCCTTCACCGCAGTTTTCTTCAGCAGTTCATCATCCATACGAAGGCCTTGAGGATGAATATCACTTTGGAATGCACTGGATGTCCACAGACAACCCACCATGGCTGTTATGTACTGGTTGTACTCTTTGTATGTCTGGCTACTGAACTTGAATTGCAGTATTTTCTGAGGGACAAGAAAACAAAGCAATACATAGTATCCTCAAAGCAGTTTTGTGCTCCCTCCAGTCCATTCCAGCACACAGGAATTGTCCACAGTACCTTTTTACTCCGCTCATTTTCTTTGGCAGCCACCAAGTTGGCTCGATACCTAAAAACCCAAAAGGGAAAGTTAGGTGCCTGTCAATGTTTACTTTCCACCAATGTTGAAAAAAGCTAGAGGAATGTATATTAAGAAAGCTTATTTACTCCCTGAGAGAGATCATTGAACTTTACTGGTAAAAAGCAGACAAGAAAAATAATTCAAAGGGTCTTTATCACTTAGCATAGACCCACCCTTTTACAGGCAAGAGGGAGACACCCCATATTGTTAATCTCTTAAAAGTTGAAGACATGAGCTTCATAAAGGCAATATGCAAGAATTCACATTCAGTCTTAAAACCAGTGGGAAATTGTAGTGTATTTTTAAGAAGGGAGACTTCCATTCACAAGCAGAGGAACAGAAGCCACTGGAAGTAATGCAACTTGACAGTTGTTCCATATAATAAGCACTAGCTTCTATCTTTCCCCAGAGACCATCCTGTCGTGTTAATTACCCTGCAGACTCCTTAGAGAAAAAGCTACATGGTTTCTCCCATGCCAGCATCAACAACTGGCTACTCTTCTTCTCAAATGCAACCACTGGAACTAACAAGGCCAAGAACAGCAGCCGTGCTGGTGGATCCTTGCAGGGAGCTAAATCGTGCTGTCTTTGGGTCCACCAGCAGCACGGGGCAATCCCAAATTCCAGCTGAGTCTGGAGGTGGCAGAAATGATTCCTACTCAGCACCTTACAAAATCAGCAAAGAAAAGCTCAAGCCTAGTGGTCAAAGCCCACAAGTGAGAAGTTGTCCAGTTAACTAGAAGTGATTGGAGCTGGCTGACTTCAGATCTCTCAAAACAACATGAGAACTTCTTCCTTCACCTATCACAGGTGCAGAAATAATACTACAAAAGAGGTCAGAATCCTGCTATTTTAGATAACAGGCACAAAAATAAATTTAAAAAAATCGTAGGAGCTACAGCTATGAAGTTCTGTATCATGAAACTGGGCATAACTGGAACTTTTGGCTTTGCATTGCATGGTAAGAAAAAGTAGATTTCACATTTTACACCAAAGTAATTTCCTTTCCAAAAGACTGAAAGAGAAGACAGAATCCCTGGAGCCCATACCCCGTGCAGTACCTGTACATGATGTAGCAGAGCTGGTTCAGGTTGACAGAATCCATACTGAGAAGTGCTGGGTAGAAAACTCCAGCAGGTGGCATTATCAACAGAGGCAGGTTGTACCCCAGATACATGTCAGAAACCTGCAGCAACAGAGCAAACCCAGGCAGGTTATCACTGCCATTAGCAAACCACAAAGCATCTCAGAGCAAAACAGGACACTGCAGTCCAGCCACCTCCACCCACTTCCCCAAGGAGGCAATGGACAGGATGAAGCAATTCCATTTGCTTCCTTCTTAGTATGAGACATATTCATCAGCTCCTATCTCAGTCTCTGATTCCACCATTTAGGCACATCATGTTTTGACATTGTTACTTGCTCTCCCAAATCTACCCAGATGCCTGAAAAAAAGCAGCAGATGGTTTTTTTCCTCATCTTTCAGATCATTCTAACATAGGTATCTTGGATTGTGCTAGACTTGACCTTGTTTCTAGCCTGGTTTGCTGATACCAGCAAGGCAAACAAACTATGCTTCTCTTCCAGTTGGGAAATTAAATCTTTCTATTTGACCTTGCTGGAATTGCATAAATAAATGATAAATCTTTGCTCTAAGAAAAGATGATATGGCTGCAGCTTAAAAAAAAATGCAACCAGCGTTAGAGTACTGGGATTTTGAAAGCCAACATGAAGGGGATACATACAGTCTCATAGAAATCCAGGATGAAGTACAGCAAGAAACTGTGATCATTTTCCAAGCGCAAGGCAGCAGTGGAGATCCACCCAACAAAGTGGATCAGTTCAGCCACTACGTTCACCTGTTCAGAAAGGGTGGTGTTCCTGCAGCAGTGACATGATGCAACATCAGTATGTACACCTCACACCCCTTGGCAAATGGTAAAACAGAAATTGAATTCACCCTCCTGCCCCCCAGGCATTCAGCAACAAGCATTTGTTCTTGGTCATCATAGAATCATGGAATGGTTTGGGTTGGAAAGGACCTTAAAGATCATCTAGAACCAACCCCCCTGCATGGGCATGGACACCTCTCACTAGAACAGGCTGCTCAGAGCCCCATCCAACCTGCCCTTGAACACTTCCAGGGAGGGGATATCCAAAACTTCACTGGGCAACTTGTGCCAGAGGCTCATTACCCACACACTAAAGAATTTCTTCCAATGTCTAACATAAATCTCCCCTCTTCCAGTTTTAATCCATTAGCCATTGTCCTTTTTCCACAAGGCCTTGTAAAAATTCCCTTCCCAGGTTTCCTGTAGCCTGTTCAGGCACTGGAAGGTGCCCTAAGGTCTCCCTGGAGCCTTCTCCTCTCCAGGCTGAACAGCCCCAACTCTCTCAGCCTGTCTTCAATGGAGAACTGCTCCAGCCCTCAGATCATCTTCATGGCCTTCTCTGGACTTACTCCAGAAGCTGCATTATTACAAATACGACTCAGCTATCACTGTTTGAAGGATTTTGACTTCTGGAGATTTCAATTTTCAGTGTCAACAGGAAATACTTTTAAAGAGAAAGTACAGGTTTGACAAGAAAGCTTACACTATAGCAGAAACATGACAACATTAACAACCTTCTAGGCAGTCTTTATGCTAGGTAACAGGGCTACAATATATATCTAAATGCACTTGTGAGCAATGCCCAGAGCACTGTGCTGCATTTATTTCAAACTTACAAAGAACAGACTTCAGAGTCAGACTCTGAATCCAGATGAACCACGTGCCAACGTAACCAGTTCTGCAGCAGCTCCTTCAGGCTCTCAAGAACACTGCACTGCAAGAGGCACAAGGAAAACAGGCTGATAATTTACTAAGTGAATAACACCAAACAGAAACTGCCACAACAATTGACATATATGAGATTCTCAGGATCACAAAGAGCAGTGAGATCATTGCATGTTCCCTTGAGCTGAATGTATACATGACTTTTCCTGGAGAATGTGAATTTCAAACAGAGTTAAAATTGCAACAAAACAAACCAACTCACCTTGTGTAGCATCAGGGTTTTTTATTTATAATGTCCCAGTAAAAAATTTATATATATCTTAAAGGCACTCAAATTCCCAAAGTTACAGTGTAAGTATATACTTTATTGTCATTTGGGTACAGACTTAACCAGAAGAAGTCCCCCATGTAACCCCTCAGAATGCTCCACCTGACACAAGTGTAGATAACATTATCAACAAGAAGCACATTGTGCTCAGTTAATTTACCTTAAAGAAAAGGGATGATGTGAAAAACAGCTGTGCCAGGGGATCATAGAGATGTGACTTCATTTCTGAAATAAACAAGAAAGCAGCATGATATCTGTGCACACCTTCTGTCCCCCAAGATCTGATGCTGTCAAGGCTCACCAAAGGATCTACAATACCTACCAGAGAAGCTGCTGAGAGGGATCCAACTCACAAGTCTAAGGATCTGGGATTGGCAGCAGGAGCCATCCCAGAGAGGAAGGCTCCTATACAGGAACTCTTCACAGGAAGAAAATCCCTCCTACAAAGCAGATGATGAACATTCAAAACCTCTGCCTGCACCTTGCCATGTTCACTCTGGAGAAAGAAAGAGGCTTACACCTCCTTCCTGCCACACAATTCACCAGGACATTCAGATGATCATTCTCAAGTTATCTTTCCTGCAGACAACAAGGCCATGTCCAGAATACTGACTCACTCTAGGAATATGTGGTTTTGTTACTTGAGACACTGTCACCTCTCAGAGATACTACAGGAAACAGGTCCCAGAAGTACTTTAAGGAAACAGCTTGTGAAACACTTGGTTTCCACAGAACAGGCACTTACCTGCAAGAAACACTCTGTCTTGTAGACAGTTTCAAGGAACTCCTTGAATTCTTCTTCGTATCTGCTATTCTCAGCCACACACCAGGTACATTCTAAACAGGAAAGAATATTGTATGTGAAAGTGAGCACAGCAAGAATAAATTCCATCAGAAACAAAATTCAGTTCTCCTCCAGTAGTTGTTTTAACATTGTGATTATCACTATAAATCTGAAGAGCCAAGTACCATTATTGAAAAGTAAAAAGCCTCAGACATCCTTTACCTCCTTATCCTACAAGGTAGCACTGAGTTCCTACCTTCCTGAAGAGTCTGGCCCATCCAATAGTAGAGCCTCAGGTAAATAGATTCATCTTTGACACAATTCATGTAGTGAAGCAATAAAGGGTTTGTTAGCACTGAACCCATCTGGGAAGGAAACTGCAAGAGAAATAATAAAGAAAAAAGTTATTCAGTATTTACATCAGAAAATGGCCAGAGAATCTTATTCTATTTGAGTTGTCTAATTTTACTGGCAACAAGACCATCTCCAGGACTCCTCAGGTATGACTAGATGCTCTGTCAGACCAGGTAGCCCACTCAGTAGTCACATATAAAAACAGCATAGGGGAATAACCATTGATCTCCCAAAACATTTACCAAAACCTTCCTGAAACTCACCTCTAGATGGTGGATATATTGTAGGAGCTGAGAAAAGGTCTGCAGCTGCTCCACTGGGAAAGACTCATTCCTACTGTACAAATCAACACTCTTCTGTGCCCTGTCCTCTTCTAAAGCATTTTTGTTTGTGCTGCATGCAGGTATAACCAACTGGGTATTCCATTTCTGTAGAAAACACAAAGAGCAACGACTTGGTTTCCAATGCAATCATGTGCACTTGTGACCAGTATTCCCATAAGGACACTGTTCTGCAAAAAAGATATCCAGACTTGGATTATCACAGGAATGCTGCATTTCTATACAGCCACTCCACCCTTCATGCTGAAATAAAGCTCAAGAGCCATGATTTACCAATATTCACAATGAAACAGCTGCTTGGCACCTCCTAGAGTCTGCCTTAGGCCCATAACCTACCCTTTTTCGTGACTGAGGTTGAGCTGTGCCTAAAAACAGCAACTGGGATACTGGAGACTTCCCCTGGTTTCTTTGCCTTACTGTGTTGAGTGCTGCTTTCCATGGGCCCTCTGCATTCTTGAAATAAGTCTGAAAACATCAAGCAGACATCTATGAAAGAAGCCAAACTCAGACAAAGTGACAGAAAGACCAGTTCCTATTTGATAAATGTCACCACAGTGATACATACACAGTCAGCTCTGCTTAACAGACCAAGAGGTAAGGTTTTCACAGCACAGAACTCGCATCATCCCTCACTTTCATTACCTTCTGACCATAGAGTTCAACAGTTGTGCTTTTATTTCCTTCTGAAATGTTGTCCTCTTTCTCAGAAGGGATCCCTAACACTTTGATTTATAATCCTAATTCAGATCAATCATCAATTCATAGAGTAAACCTCAAGTATACATTAAAACAAAACACAGCTAAGTTATATTTATGCATGTGACTAGAAAAGGTTCCTGAATTCAGCATCAGTGATCTTCAAACAGAATAAATTGTAGTAAAATTCTCAAATTAATGGAGATGCTACAGCTAAAAAGAAAAATGGAAAAATGAACCCAACATTTTTTTTTTTCTTTCACTTCAATTGCAATCAATCTTTAAACCCTAATCAGGTGTCAAACCACCACAAAAGTATTCAGATGGGTTTGGGTCTAGGTAATTTTATTATCCAAGTTACACTGTGTTCATAAAAACAGGTGAAAGTGTATTTGGGTTTCAGTTGCTAGTTAGTTACTTCACTTATGTGCATGTCTAGAAATGCAAACTCTTCAACAGATGACTGTGCAACATAATGCAAAATATAAATTTATAGAGCAATTTAAGTACATAGCAGGTTGAAATAAAACAATCTTTCTTTTATAGAAATGCAGCTTGCATACATAGAAATTAAATGTCTCTTCTAAAAAGAACCAAACCACCACCAAACAAACTTTACTTCTATCCCATTGAAGTACCAAAAGAACATTAGGTCTCACCTGCTGGTATATTTTGTTATAGGTTCAGTTTCTGCTACATATATTCTAAGTGGTCAAAGGGCTAAGCACACATAGAGGTCTCTCTAAAAGCAGAGTCATACTTTTTGCTCTTACCTTGAGGTTCTGACAAATCAGCTTCCCACATTTTTCTCCACTATTTTTCTCTTTCCTGTATGACAGACTTCCCAAGTGGGAAGTAGCATACTGGCTTCTAATGTTATTTGTACTTGATAAAAATCAGCAATTTGGACAATGCCTTGTTTAGCTCAGGTGAAAGAGCATAATTTTGTGAAACAAGTCAAAACCAGCAAGAACACCAAAAGAAGGATGAAATAAATCCTTGTAAGGATAAATGTAGACACCATTCCATTCCAAATCATCTCATTGTGCTGCAGAGGAAACAAAACACTAGGCAAGGAATCCCTCATCTAAACCTGATTTGACTCAAAAGAAGAAATAGAATTAACCTTGACCACTAAGTCAGGTTAAATGGAAAGTTTGGTACAAATACTATCATAAGTACTGGTTCCAAATAGAGTAAGTCTAATTCCTTACCTTAGTTTTCCTAGGAAGGTTTATGGTCACTAGCTCAGGACAGAAGGTTTTGTAAAGTGATAATAAAGCCTGAAGATGAGGCTGCATTCCCTGTCAAATAAATTGGATGTATTGAAGGACAAGAATAAACCAGAATAAGAATAAAAATGAGGTATGTTTAGAATATAGCTACTCAATACTGTATTCTAGAAGCAAAAAAACCAAAAACACTCCAGTGATTACTAAAAGCTTTCTAAAGCTACATGTCAGGATGTAATCATAGATAAACAATTGAAAATTAAAGAACAGAAACTGTGTCAATGAAATACCATAAGGAAAGGATTAAAGAAGAAACCTATAGTCATAATTCTAATAAAAAGGAATTTAACAATCAAAAGTATGAAAAATAGTCTTCTGCAGGCTAAATGCTCCAAAGCACATTATAGCTATAGGGTTTTTTCTTACAAAAAGTGAAGTAAGGTCATCTGCAATCTTATATTTCTCAGTCATTTTTTGATATCACTTGAAGAAGTCAGATGAATAGAAAATTAAAAGAGCCCCTTGCTGCAAAGGTTTTACCACACCTATCCACCAAACACAAGGCTATGTGCATGTCATTACATGTGGTCACAAACCACAAATCAAAATCAGGGATGCACATGCAAGATAGTCAAGCCTTGATGCTACCATGATTACAACCTAGAATTCAAAGTCTAAGTCTGTCCTGAGGCACTAGCCACTATTCTCCATCCTGAAAGGACAGTCTTACAGGTCATGTTATCAGCCACAGTTCAAAAGCTACAGGATTTGAAGTAAACTCACCATTTTTGCTTGAAGGTCAAGCAGCCTCCTGATCCGAAAAGGCTTGACTGGAAATACAATTAAGAACATAATGGATTTAAATCCTACTATATCAGAAATTGAAGCAAAAATGCAATATAGCTGTTGTTATAGAAAGTCACAACAAAGCAAACAGAACCAATTGGATCCAATCCCAAAAGTGTTACACAAATCAGGCTGAGCTACCATTCATGCTTCCTTGCCTTAAAAGCAATATACTGGCTAGTGTTGTCTTAGCTCCATTGGAAGAAAAGGCAGTGCCAGCTAAGAAGAGAAGAAACAAGCTGGTATTCCATCTCATCCAACTGGATAGACTCACCATTTTCTTTCCTGGTCAGGAGGTAGAGCACGTGGCAGACAAAGGGGCACTGCAAAGAACAGGAACCAAACAAATGACCCTGCTGGTGCAGACTGCTTAACAAGCATACACTAAAAGTTATTCCAGGCTAATTTCTAGCATTAAAATGCATACTGCTGAGGAATATTTAGGTTTACTTTGTCAATTCCATACATTCTTCAGCTCTCCTTACCATCTTCTCATCTTGCAGGAAGAAAAAGAAGAAACCATAGAGGGCATGAAGCTGTTCTTTGTGATCAATGAAGTCAAACATTGTGATCAGCCATCTTACAAAAAGCAGCTGCAGATAAGAAAAAAAAATCATATTACATTAAGTGATGGACAAAACTAAGACAGACCAGTCACTAGCCAGCTTAAGAGACACATTCATTAAGGATACATGCCAATCTCAAGGATAACCAGATAGCTACAGATGAACAGTGTGGAAAAAAAATCTGCCCAGAGCACTAACTGCCACATCAGAATGGAAAAAGCAGCTCAGTTTTGAATGTGTGCTAACTCCTAGATGGGATCTGAGGGCCCCTCAGGAGAAGACAGACACTAAGGTGCTGGGGCGTGTCCAAAGCAGAGCAACAAAGCTGGTGAAGGGTCAAGTCTTAAGAGAAGCAGCAGATAGAACTGGGGCTGTCAACAGTCTGGAGAAAAGAAGGCTCAGGGGGCACCTGACAGGACTTTATAGCAAGGTGGGTGTTGCTTTGCCCCTAAGTAACAAGCAATAGGATGAGAAAAACTGGCCTTAAGTTGTGCTGGGGGGGTTAGATTGGATATGAGGACAAATTTTTCCAATGAAAGAGTTGTCAGGCACTGGAACAGGTTGCCCAAGGAACTGGTTGTGTCACCATCCCTGGAGGTATTTAGAAGATGTGTAGATGTGGTGCTGAGGGATGTCTCATGATGCAAACCTTTGTGCAGAGTACAGGAAGACAAAACAAGACTTGTTTTGCTAAAGTGATGTGGCCACAGCTCAGGAATGCAGAACCTAAGGGATACCCTGCAGAGGCTGGGGAAGAATGCCTGACATAGCTTGAAGTATTCCACTGAGATGTTGGAGGAGAAAACGTTCCTGAGGAACTTACAGATACAAGACATGCAGGAACAGTGCAAATTTCCACTCACAAAAAGTGTTCCAGCTGTGGGTGTCTCTGCCAATCTTCCTAAATGCCAGTATCTTATGTAAAAACCTTGCAAATTAAAACCAGGATTTTTGCCCCCCCTCCCCCCTCCCCGGAAATAATCTGCCCTCATTATTCCTGTGCAGAAACAAGAACTACTGTAAACATTCCTGAGTTACCTGTATGTTGCCTGAGCACTTGCTGGCACAGAGCCAAGACACAGAAGTAACCACAGAACTCTCTGGTATTACTGAGGCTGGAATCAGGCTCTTCAGCAAACGAGTATTTACTGTATCAGCTGGAAAACAAAATTTTAAATAAGATGGTGCTCATGTACCAGGGGCTCTTTGATGTGGTTTTGCAGCTTAGGTCAAAATTTCCTCTGGACCAAACCACTCAGTGTTTCATTGCCTAAAACAATGAAGAAGTACCCAAGCATTTAGTAGGGACTTAACTATACCTCAAAAATTATAAATATGTATTTCCAGCTTAAAGAAAGAAAATGGAATATCTAGTATTTTAGTACTGAAATAGCTTTTTGACTCTTGTTAAGACAACCAAAAAATTTCTGGTAATATTAAACAACCAATACAGGTCAGTATTCTGGAGATAAGCTAGTAATTTTCAATCAAGAAAAGCACTGAAGTAACTGCATAATGGGGATAGACTCCTCTGTGCTCCTCTTGGGTTGAAGGGAGGAGAAAAGTTAGGGATTTTTTTTTTTTCCATATAATATTTCATTACTTTGAAGTGTAAATGGTGGCCCTAGTTTCTCAGAAAGCAGCATCAGGCTGCACTGACAACTCTGAACCAACTGCTAGCATGAAATTTCAGTTTTAGTAAGTTCACTAACACAATTGTGTCAGGTCATTTACTTTGATCTTGGGGAAAAGAAACATACAAAAAGTTATAACAAGGAAAAGACAATGGTTGCTCAGAATGCACTTTAAACCTTTCAGGCACCTGCAATACTTAACAAAGGAAATATGCTTTTCCAAAAATATTAGTAGCAAGCCCTAGTATTTTTCTGGGTATCACTCCCCTGCAGCAAGGACTGAGGTTATTTTTAGTGTGAACGTAGAAATGACACTGAAACATGCCAGAAAGATTAATTTTACACTAAAATAACTAACAAAACAGTCACCCTTAACACGTTCTCTCCTGCAGATTTGATGAGAGGGGGAAAAAAGACATTCACAGAAGACAGTGTACAAATGTTTTACCAAGTTTGCCACTAAGTGCCACGTTTAGCAATACATCAAATCCTTCAGGGGGTAACCCTCTTTGCTGGGCAATGCTTTCCACAGCAGCCAAGTGTTTTTGCAGAGCACTGTTCTTCTTCAGGGGAACATTGTCTTGAACTAGGGAAAAGAAAAAAAACAGGGTAAAACAACTTCTGAACTGAAAATGATCCAACTTAGACTTCTATGAACTCTCCCTACATATATTTGTTGGGTTCTGTACAAAACAGCATAAAGGGGATAACCTTTTAAGACATTGAGGAAATATTACTTAGGTATTAAGGAGGGGAATCAGCATAAAATCAGATTATGTTGTTGTTGAGATTTAGTTATTATCTTTTCAGTCAGAGAATCACAAAATGGTTGGAAAGGATCTCCGAGATCACAGAGTCAAACCTTCATCACAGAAAAACCCAAACAAAAACAAACAAACAAAGACACCATACAACACACCACTCAAAAAAAAAAACCCCACTCAACAAAACTGCAAACACTCCACCAAGTAACACCCACAAGAAAGATACCAACTACAATGTCAGCCACTAGAGCCTGCCCTGAAGTGCCACATCTACACATTTCTTGAACACCTCCAGGGATGGTGACTCCACCACTTCTCTAGGCAGCTGTTCCAGTGCCTGACCACTCCTTCCATAAAGCAATTCTTCCTAAGGTCCAGTCTAAACCTCCCCTGGCCCTACTTCAGACTATTTCCTCTGGTCCTGTCATTACTCACTTGGGAGAAGAGGCCAACACCCACCTCCCTACAACCTCCTCTGTAGAGAGCAATGAGGTCTCCCCTCAGCCTCCTCCAAACTAAACATCCACAGCTCCCTCAGCTGTTCCTTGTATGACTTGCTCTCTAGACCCTTCAACCAGCTTGGTGAAGTCCTGGGTCTAACCTTAAAAGCGCTCTTACCTTTCTCAAAGTAGCTCAAGGCTTGCTCAAGGGAGTCTGGGTTCCTTTCTTTTTCCTGATCATTACAAGGCTGATGATCCTGGGCATTTTTTTCTGAATCAGTCCTCCCTCCTTTTCTCCATGCTGAGAGATCAGTTTGACTTTTATGGTGAACTTGCAGAGTCTGCTCTGAGGACTTCAAAGTCCGTCTTCGTTGCATCTTTTCAGACTCCCCCGTGAAACTGGAGAATTTTACTCATTTGTCATGTGGGTTCCAATCCTTCATTACAGAGGGGCAAGAAAGCAGATCAGCCTCCAGGAACTGAAGAACATCAGAGAGCTGGTTCCCTGCAAGAAAAGGAAAGGTTATTTTCCTGACAAACAGATTTTAGAGGGAGGCTGCAAAATGTAACAGAGTTAACTTCGGAGGAAAGAATTTAGAGCCAGCTAGATTCAAAAAGATCAGGCAGTATTCTCAGAAGATGGACAGACAAGTGTATCAAAATTCCATTAATTCTTTCATTAAAAAGAGGAAGAGAAAAATAAATCACAAGTAAAAATTAACATAAACAAAAAATAATCAGTATTTTAAATATCTGATAAAAGCTTAACTAATATTTTGATCAATAATTAACATAGCAAATTAGAAAAAACACAATCAACAATTTTATTTATTTTGTGCACTGTCAGTTTCATTACTTGTACTGTGTGTGCCAATATAATCAGCCAACAGGTCAGGATTTTCTGCAAGGTAATGCATGGATTTTAGAGGGTCATAACAATACTCATCTTCCTAGTTCACAAAAATTAAATGCTTCTGCATTTTTTCTACCTAGCAGCTAGGACTAAAAAAATGATGACATCTCACTACACTTTCAAGTGAAGCACAAGAGCCACCAACAGTGCAAAACTGCCTAGCTCTGTGTGAAATACAACCCTGGAGAGTAGCATTTTCCCCTCAGTGTGCTGGAGATCCACCTTTCACCCACCAAATGTTGCTACAACTTCCTACACCTGCTGGAGCCTACCTTTTGCTTCCCTGACATGGTAAAACAGAATCATTTTCTTACTCCCTTTTCAGCTCTCACTTCCATAAGGTGATAGGATCATCTCTATTTTTCTATAGGTTTTGTTTATCACTAACTTCCCTGTGCAGCATATCAAGAACAAATCTCTGGCTACGTCCAGACCTTCTCTGAAGGTGAATGATAAACGTTCACCTTCACAAATTAAATCAACTGAGCAGGTGGAACGTCCTGAAGGGAAACATCAACACATCAGAACTCTGACAAAGATGCTTTGCTTGGGGGTGACTAACAATAACTAAGATGCTCCAAAACAGTGACAGTTCCTGATTGTGACTGTGCCAGGGTCAGACTGACACGAGCTGGACTGACACGCAGGAGGTGCAGG